GCGTTCGGAAATAACATTCGAGTGCGACTGAGTATCAATTTTATCCTTATTTTTTGTCGAATGTTAAACAAGGATAAAATAATACTCGGGTGAACTCGGGTGTTATTTCCAAATGCATCCTTGATGCTACAAATGCTTCGAAGCATTTCTTAATTCATAAAATTGCCAATTCATAAAATTCTTTGTTCTAATTGATTAATCAAATACTTTTAAATATTTGTAGCAGCAAGTGAATCGCACTTGCACCACTGATATACTGATATACTTGTACCAATGAAATTATTTAAATTTAAAATATATAAATACTTCAAAACAATTATATAAATAGTCAATAATGAATTTTTCGTATTATTTAGCTGAATATGAATTAATAATTTCATTATAAAAGAAGTAATATTATGCTACTACATTTGGATATTTCATATGTAGCAGTCCTTAATGTGCATTAATCCAGCGTAGTGCAACGAATTGAATTCGCTAAAAAACGGACACATGATTTAACTATCTCTACTATATCCATCTGAAATCTGAATGATTTCTTTTTTTTAAATTAAATCACAATCTTAGATTTAAAAGAATGTGAATCAATCTAATGCAAGATTTTACTAACTACGATTGTTACTAAACCAGATTAACGTCGCCATGTAAATATAGTAAATATCAATCTGATTAATGATTTCAGATATGGAACCTAGGAATCTTTTAAGAATCGGACAATCCACCGGATACGCCGCTATTAAAGAATCATTTTTAATTAACATATCATATCAATAATATATATATTATAATTAAATTTCAATATTTTTTTTTTTCCATTAAGATTTCATCATTTTCATTAACATATTTTATAAAAGAATTAAATTAGAATTAAGATAATTTTTATAATATATGAATATAATATATGAAATATTTATATATATATAATTATTTTATAAAAAATATAAATTATTTAAGATAAATATTATTTTAAATAAATTTTTAAAAACTGTTGTTAAATAAACTAATGATTATATGATAAAGGAATGTAAGAAATTGATTTAATTTGATTTATTGATTTATTAATTTATTAATTATTCTTATTTGTTAGATCGTATGAAAAGATTTTTTTATATTTATTATAAATTAGAATAAGATTATTTATTTTTAATATAAAGGATTTAATTATTTTTGTAAGATAAATTGTAAAAAGATCTTGATTCGAAAATTTATGTAGTTATAGAAGATTTGAATAATTATTAATTTAGTTTAAAATAAAAATATTTTATTTACAATAAAAAGATTTATAGATTTATTATAAAATTTATATGAAATTTAATAGTTAAATTAATGTTAAAGGATTAAAAGGTTATTAGTTAATAAGGATTGAAATAATAATTAAGATTTTATATTGAATTGGATTATAGAGAGGTTTTTAATAGCTTTACTTTAGTTTTTTAGTTTAGGTTGCAATAAAGAGATGTAGATATATAAAGTAACAGAACAGGTGATGAGTGATAGAAAGGTAATAATAATATATGGATAATATATGGCAATTATTAAATACATCTTATATAAAAGAAATATAATACATTTGTTGTACAGTACAATCAAACCATATAATAACTTTGAAAAAGAAAAAAAGTCTTAAAACAAAAAGAAAAACATAATTATAGACACGTATTATAAAGAAAAATAATTAATAAATTTGTAGCTAAGAATTTTATATATATATATATAAAATATGCATAAAATAATTTTACATATATATATTTTTATATATATAAATTGTCGCATTCGCGGCGTTACTTCCCGAGATCGCGATACTCGGCGGAGCGCTTTCGGAAAGGAAGAACACTGTTAAAAGAAAAGCTCGCTCTTTATTAAACCAACGGTACAGCGGTACAGAAACGCGTCCGACCACCGCGGAATCTGGCCGTGAAATCTGTATAACAGTCGGAGAATGACGCGTTGCCAAGGACCGATCCTCTATTCAAACTTTTATCGATTGATATTGATTAATTTCAGCAGCGCCGAACGGAACACCGCACGGCCGCAACACTGCCCCCTCTCTTCATAAAATTGTCGTCCCGACAATTCTTCTTCTTTCAAGAACTTCCTCTTGGAAAAGACTTCTGGGCTCCTGGCGACTTCCTGCCCTACTGAGGCTGCTGCCTCAGGTTACCGGGTGCTGCTACTTCTAATCCCAGTCTTCTCTACTCTTCAGAAGAATCTTGTTCTTGAAATTTTTGCGCGTTTCACTCTTGACTCTTTGTCTTGAGCTTTGCGCACTTCTCTCTTCCATTTTTCGGGCAAAGTGGGGGTAATCATCGTGGACCCTTACGTCTTTCTAAAAGACACACTAAGCCCCTGTCTCGGCATTCGCCCATCGTCCCCCAGAAAAACCACGACTCGGAAAATCGGGGGCGAGGCAGACTTCTTTTCAGTTTGAAGCACGAGCTTGAAGATCTTGCTTGGTGCTCAGGCTCGAGGATCTCCCCACGACGCTTGTCACGACGGAAGGAAGTTTAAAGAAAGATAAAACAGAGAACAGTAACTCAAAACAATTAACAAGAAATAAAAGTAATGTCAAAATTGGAAAACCGAAAACCTCTACTTAAAATTCTTCCCTTATAATTTTAATAGCCAAAGCCCTTTCTACTGCGGCCCTCAAAGATGTTAACCCTTCTAGCTGCAATGTCTGTTTAACATTCACATCAGACAATGCAACTACAAATTGAGAACAAGCAATTTTGTTACGAACTCCGGGAGAACATTCAGGATAAGCTAATCAAGATAAATGCTCGATATCCGAGCCTAATGCAGCTAAATCTTCTCCGAATCTCTGTTTTCGATTCGTAAATTGATAATAATAATTTTGCGAGGATAAATTTTCTCCAAAACGTAGCTGTAAACGCGCGACCAAATTTTCAAATTGAGAGTTCTCAAAATCCATGCCCCCTTCCAAAATCGCACGCGCTTTTCTTCGGAGACATGACGCTAATACGACAGCCTTCTCCGCGTTTCCCAAATTATTCGCCCGCGCAATTAAATTAAACTGCGTAAGATATTCGCGCAACGGAACACTACCGTCATAAGTATCGGGCTTAAGTTTCAAGTCGGAACTAAAATTTGAAAAAGAAAATGACTGGCCTGATATCGGACATGCGAAATCTCTTCCTGCAGACCGGGCATTGAAAATGTTTCCGTCTCTCGACGAGCGCGCTCCTTCCTCAGAAAGCGAAGCTCCTCCAGTGTTAAGTGAAGAATTTCCTCCAAGTTCGGAGACGTCTGCGGCCCTTCTGCTCGAGTACAGGCCCTTTTTCTTGCAGAGATCACTCTCTGACCTTTCGCCTCTTCCTGTTCAGTCCCCTTCTTCCGTTGTCGCTCCGCCTATTATCTCTCTCTCTCTCTCTCTCA